CAACGCCATTCAGCAGCTCTTATATAACTTTCCCAGAGATTCTGTTACATCTAGTGGAACTCCGTTCTGGTCAGGCCCTAAGCGTGCACCTACCCCATTAAAATTCGACCCCACGAATCCTACGCACTTCTCTTTTATCGTCGCCGCTGCAAACCTCCATGCTTACAACTACGGAATCAAGAACCCTGGGGCGGACAAGGGTCATTACCGAAAAGTTCTAGATGACATGATCGTCCCCGAATTTACACCCAGCTCCGGTGTCAAGATCCAAGCTAATGACAACGAACCCGATCCGAATGCGAAGCCGGGTTTCACTGATGAGGAGGAACTCAAGCGTCTCATTGCTGCACTCCCATCACCCAAATCTCTAGCCGGATTCCAATTAGAACCCGTTGTATTTGAGAAGGACGATGATACCAACTATCACATCGACTTCATCACAGCTGCCAGCAACCTACGCGCCGCGAACTATGACATCCAGCAAGCAGACCGACACAAAACTAAGTTTATCGCCGGCAAGATCATCCCTGCCATCGCAACGACAACAGCGCTGGTTACTGGCCTAGTGATCCTCGAGCTCTACAAGATCATCGACGGCAAGCCACACCTCGAACAGTACAAGAACAGCTTCGTCAACCTCGCACTGCCATTTTTCAGTTTCATCGACCCTATCGCCAGTCCAATGGACAAATACCATCACAAGGGCCGCGAGATCTGGTTCCACAAGCTCTGGGACCGTTTCGAAGCAGACGATATGGTGCTCCAGGACTTCCTGAAGAGCTGCGAGGAGCAGAATGGATTGGATATCAGCATGATTAGTTCTGGGGTTAGCTTGTTATACCCTGTATTTAACAAGGGCCCGGATGTGATGAGGAAGCGGTTGCAGATGAAGTAGGTTTTTTTTTCTCTCCCCTCCCCCACTCAGCAAAGCCACAATCTACTCCGCATCGTGTACTAGCATTTTATGCTAATGCATATTTTCTGTGCAAAAATTAGGTTGAGCGAGCTCGTCCAGTCTGTCAGCGACAAGGCGATCCCCGATCATCAGAAATACGTCATCTTCGAGTTTCTGGCACGCGACGATACAGATGAAGATGTTGATGTGCCGTACGTGAGCGTGAAGGTGGATAAGCCAGCGAAGAAGGACGCTAAGGTGATGGTTTAACTAGAAATGAAAATAGAATAGAATGGATTGAATTGAATTGAATTAATTGCGCAGAGAGAAAATACGGATGAGAATTTGATGTAAAATTTTTTGTTTCTGCTTTCTTAATTGAGTTGTGGGTAACAAAAATCAAAATAAGCTTTCTTTTCTTCAGTTTTTTTTCTGACAAAAGGCATGGAACCATTGGCAAAGGATAATAGAAGCGGACTCGGAGATGAGATAGATTTTATAAGCGGCGCGGCGGATAAAATAAACCAAAGGATTACCTGTCACTTCTCAATTGACAATGTGAGCAAAAAAAATCCATGGCCAGGACTCCATTAGTTAACTATGCCATCATCGTCAAGAGACTTGGGCGTCATGAATTATTAAGCACGGATTTGAGCGCAGAAACTAACCATTGCTAATAAACTATGGTTAAATGACGGAGAGGAGAAGACAAATAATAGATTTGAACGCTTGACCAGCCCTTACTGTCTTGTTCCCTACCCACTTCCCTTAACTCACTTCCCTTTCATCCATTCAAAACCCATCAGAAACTTGGATTTATTCTCATGTCATCCGCTCTCGCTCGAGCCCGACAACTCCTCGCATACTTCAGTAGTTCAAAGCCTCCTACGTCACCGCTATCCGTCGCAGCAACAGCAACAGCAACAGCAACAACAGCACCCCAATCAGGTCAATTCTCAACTGCAACACCAATAACAAACAATATGCCACGTGATGGATATGTTTTTATTTCAATGCGTA